CTGTTTATGTAAATAGAAAAGCATATGGGGAAAAAAAAAAAAGCATATGGGAGAAAATCTGCAAACTGAAGAGGCTCCCAAACTAATAATGGTGGTCATTTTATCACACTTGTAACCAGTTTAAAAACCTGTTTCTTTAAAGGCTAGGCAGGATGTCCCGTGGCACTCCATTCCTCTGCCTGGTGTTAAAGCCTCCTTTCTTCACTCTCCTTCCAGAGGCCATACTGTCTGGTCCCTCCTGTGGCCTCTGTCTCCCAGTAGACTCTTTGGAAGAACTGCAGGGCAGTAGGGGGCGGAGGACAGCCTGTTTTTGAAGAGTGCATTGCATGCAAGCCAAGCAGAGGCTAGATGTTTTACTCTTTCCCACCTCAGAGCACCTTTGTTTTGTTTTTTTTTTTTTTTTTTTTTAAGATTTTATTTATTTATTAATGAGAGACACAGAGAGGCAGAGACACAGGCAGAGGGAGAAGCAGGCTCCCTGCAGGGAGCCCAACGTGGGACACGATCCCCTCAGAGCACCTTTGTAAACTGTACTGTGCCTGGTTTACAGATGAAGACAGGCATGAAGAGAAGGCTAAGCACCAGGTATACCCCAAGATAAGGTAGGCCCCAATTTGCCAGGGAGATAGATTTATTTATTTATTTATTTATTTATTTATTTATTTATTTTTAATTAATTAATTTATTTATGATAGAGAGAGAGAGAGAGAGAGAGAGAGAGAGGCAGAGACACAGGCAGAGGGAGAAGCAGGCTCCATGCACTGGGAGCCCGATGTGGGATTTGATCCCGGGTCTCCAGGATCGCGCCCTGGGCCAAAGGCAGGTGCCAAACCACTGCGCCACCCAGGGATCCCTGCCAGGGAGATTTAAACGAATTTTTTTATACAACTCAAAAGTGTATTACATAAACTTAAAGAGATGTACTTGGAAGTTGACTTTCCTATAATACTTATTATTTTTAATTGCATGTACACAACTATTATCTAAAACAATGTATTCCTTTAGAAGCTATGCTTTTTACCCACATATTTTGTGAATTAGTCCTATTCCAATTTGTCTGCATTCTTCTTTGCTATTCTCATAGCCACATTTGGAGGTGCTCTCCTCCTGAGCACTCTACCTTCACCTCTTAGTGGTAGAGATGTGACATTGTCACTGGAACCTCTACCCCAAGCTGGTTGTAATCTCTTCAGTGTGACCCTGTTACTGTATTGATTTTTTTTTCTATATAACAGCTTTATGGAGTATTGTTCACATAATATATAATGCATTCCAAAGGACTCCTGTATCTCTCATTTCCATTATAGCCCCCCCTCCACTGGCCCTTTTGTCTTCCTGAAAGTCTTTTCCCCTTGACCTGTGTTAAAGGCCACCACTGCACGTGGTTAAGCCCTGGGGATGAAGGGAGGAAGCAAGCTCTTCCTGCTGTTGGTTGTGGTAGTATGCCCCACAGTGAGTTGCCTTGGGACCAGGGAGGATGTAGCACACTATTTTACATGGAAGATTGGAAGCGTTTTTGTGCTTAAAACTGCTGAGATGCCAGTTTTTTTTTTTAAAGATTTTATTTATTTATTCATGGGAGACACAGAGAGAGAGAGAGAGAGAGAGGCAGAGACACAGGCAGAGGGAGAAGCTGGCTCCATGCAGGGAACCGGAAATGGGACTCGATCCTGGGTCACCCAATCAGGCCCTGGGCTAAAGGTGGTACTAAACCGCTGAGCCACCTGGGCTGCCCAAGATGCCATTTAATTAAGACTGAAATGGTTGAGAGTATGGTCTCCAGGTCGGAATAGCAAAACCAATTGGTTAAACAGAAAAATTGTGCCTTTATTTTATTTTAATTAATTTATTTTTAAAAGTTGTATTTATTTATTTATTCATGAGAGACACAGAGAGAGAAGCAGAGACATAGGCAGAGGGAGAAGGCAGGCTCTCTGTGGGGAGCTGGATGCGGGACTCTTATCACTGGACCCTGGGATCATGCCCTGAGCCAAAGGCAGACCGCTCAATCATTGAACCATCCCAGCGTCCCTTGATTTGATTTGATTTGATTATTAATTTTTTTTAAAGAAATCTGATAGGTTTCTTTTTTTTTTTTTTTTTGAGATTTTATTTATTTATTCATGAGAGAGAGACAGGCAGAGGGAGAAACAGGCTCCATGTAGGATGCCAGATGTGGGACTTGATCCCGTGTCTCCAGGATCAGGCCCTGGGCTGAAGGCAGTGCTAAACCACTAAGCCACAGGGGCTGCCCCCTTGATTTGATTTTAAATGTTAGTGAAATGTAGCTGTTGCTTATTTTGTCAGTACCTACAGCACCCTGTCCATGGAAAATTGAAATAATAGCTCCAGCACCTTCTCCTGGGACCCTCACTATACTAAGTCTTTCATCTGTGTCCTTTTTGTTCCTGGGATGATCTCATCCCATTCTGGACTGAAGAGTTTCAGACTTTGGGTTGTTTCTGAAACCCTTGTGATTTGGAGATGGAGTTCCAGTACCTGCTGTCATAAACTCTCAGGGCAGTTGGGGTCAGTCTGGGCCTCTTGGGCCTCTTCTGTTTGGTTTCTGTTGTAGAGAATTCACAAAACTTTCTTTGCAATGCTGGGTCTGTTTGCTTGTCTTCACTCTTGCGAATGTATTTAACTGAAAGTCATGATCAAAATGGGAGATCATTTAGTATTACTTGTTCTATGTTTCCATCCATTTATCTTATTTGAGACACTCATACATGATTTAGAAATTGAGTGTCTATTCCCAAGCCTAAAGAAGATTAATTTTTTTTCTTTTAATAAGATGTGTTAGAAATCGAGAAGACAGAACACTTGGCTAGTGCTGCTGTTTCTGCTCCAGGCTTTTCTGTCCCCAGGTGCATACTTCAGAAATGAGAGGCCCCATGGGCTATGTGAGTTCCATCTTACTGCCTTGGGGAATGTAAAAATCTTGCATCACCTTCAAGAAACTAACTCTAGATAGGACTTTTTATCTGGGATTGAGATGTCATTGCTAAGGCTGCAGGAACATTTGTCTTGGGATTAACATAGCTCCAAGCCTGCCATTTTTCACTCTGATGCCCATTTGTTTAATGTGCTTGAAACTTGGTGTCTGTGGATTGCGCCTTTAGCTCATTCTTCCCCTCTCATGAGCAAGAAGTGATGCTAAATCTCTGTAGGGGTCTCACTTTAGCTTCTTTTACAAGGTGCTCTGTGGAGGTGTGTGGACCAGCACACACCTCCACATGCTAAACATGTGTTGGTTCTCATGCTAAACAGAATCAGATCCTTTCCTTGGGAGATTGCCGAGAGCTATCTCCAGCAAAGAAGAAGGCTAGATAGTGTATTTGACCACAGAATGTATTTTTTTTTTAAGATTTATTTATTTATGAAAGACAGAGAGGCAGAGATCTAGGCAGAGGGAGAAGCAGGCTCCATGCAGGAAGCCCAATGTGGGACTCGGTCTCGGGACTCTAGGATCACGCCCCAAGCCAAAGGCGGACACTCAACCACTGAGCCACCCAGCCGTCCCAGAATGTATGTTTTTATGAACTTGAACATGACAGGAAAAACATACACCACTCTTAAACTATTTAATTGAATATTGCCGAGATGATGGTCTTCCTAAATGAGTCAGTTCTTAATGAACATTTTCAAGTTTTCTGCCTTTATGCTCTACTCATGTAAGGCAGTGAAAAGTGTCCTTCCATGAACAGTGTCTGTTCTCTGAGGTGAGTGCCTCGAGGAGAGATAGTGGAGTTGATTGCCAACTCCTTGCTGAGGGTTTGGGTTTTATTGCTCTGTCCTTATCAGAGAGTATGGGAACCCAAGTGTCTTTTCCCCAGCTCCCTTGAGCTGCCCCTGCCCTTTGTAGTATTTATGCTGGGCCTCATGGGACAGATACAGCAACACCTTCCTGGGGTTGAGGGCCTTATGGGTTGATTAGGTTGATTAGGATGCTGCACCTCCTTGGAGGCCAGGGTAGGACTGTAAGCCTCAGATGCAGAGGTACCAAGTGGCAGCTGAAAGTCTCTGGACTCTGAAAAACTGATGGATGTGGCCAAGAGGTTTAGGGCAGGTGACGACTGGAAAAAGAGGGGACAGGCCTCTCCTCTTCCAGGAATGATTAATCTTACTCTCAAAACAGTGTTTTTTTTTTAAAAAAATACTGGAGGCTCTTTGTATAGTGCCAAAAACGGAACAAAGAGGTAAGATGTCAAAAGTGTCCCATCTGCCTTCCCTCCCAGTCCTCAAATGTGCTCTGGAGTGACTGAAGTCACTGCCCTTCTTAAAAGCTGGGTGATTCCGAAGGAGTCAGTGTATTATGATTTGCTTCATAACTGGCTGTGGTTGAATTTGATATCTTTGAAATTTGTAAATTTTTTGTTATGCTTTATTTTGGAAAGAAATCTCAGGACTTCTGGAGGATGACTGGCAAATGGCATAGAGCTGTGACCTGTGCCAGCATAAAGAATTTTCTCACACACATATCATTCTTTTCTGGTTTGTCACAGAGGAACACCTCTGAGTAGTTTGTGATAAAAGCTGCCAGATTGGGGGACACCTGAGTGGCTCAGTCGTTTGAGCACTCTACTCTTGGTTTCAGCTCAGATCATGATCTCTGGGTCATAGGATCAAGCCCCATGTTGGGCTACACACTCAGCAGAAAGTCTGCTTAAGACTTTCTCTCCCTGTTCTCCTTGCACTCTTTTTCTCTCTCAAAATAAATGTTAAAAAAACAAAACAAAACAAAAACTTCCAGATTGATGCTGTGAGCCTGGGCCACTTTGCAGACCCTTGAGGAGAGAGTATTTACCTGAGTGAGGTTTTGCAAGGACTTGGAAGAAATTGCACTCCCTGGAACACAGTACCCGGTGCAGTGCAGGACACACCTTGGTCCCTCCATCAGCAGGTACAACACTTGGAGTGCTGTCCTGGGCAGGTCAGGGTTGCCTGGGTTTTGTGGCTGTCCATAAGGACTGAATCATTTTTGGCTCCCTGTGTTTCAGAGAATGAGTTCATGTGTCATCTGGTTTGGGAGCCAACTGAGCGATGAGTAGGGGTAAACATTGACCACATGCAGAAAGCAAGTAATCTTGCCTAAAGCCAGTGAATGGACCATTACTTGTCGGCACAAGAGAGGAGAGAACTATGACTCAAGGTAGGAAAATCCCTCACAGATTTAGACCTCACAGCAATTTCAGTTGTAGTCTGAAGCAGTCACTTCGGTGTGTTTCTGTTGTGTCTGTTTCCTACAAGGTGGTGTGAGGAGTCATAGACTGCACCAAGGAGAAGACTGGAGATGGAGAATAACTCTTGAAAGAGGAGTAATGGTCTTTTTAAGGAGGACTGAAAATTCTTGGTGTGTGTATGAAATGCATTTAATTCTTTATAAGAAATGTGATATTCTGAGAAAGAGAACATGTGACACTTTAGAATTAATTTTAATTTCCCTGAAGCAGCAGTGCTATGGTTTTACTAGAAAAAGCTTTTTAAGTTGCTAAAACTTTGTAATTCTAGCAGTGTAACTCTGATGAACATACTTCTAGGTAGGCTTAAAGCTCCTCCTCATCTCCTTCCATCTTGGGACATGCTAGTCTTTCATTCCAGAAATCTGATCTGAGGCAGAGAGATAGGGCAGCGTGGTTGTGCTGGTGGTTCTAGAGAGATGAAGCATCTGAGAGGCTATTTCCCTTACAGAAAAGCTTATCTGGATTTTTTTTTTAAAATTTTTATTTATTTATGATAGTCACACACAGAGAGAGAGAGAGAGAGGCAGACACAGGCAGAGGGAGAAGCAGGCTCCATGCACCGGGAGCCCGACGTGGGATTCGATCCCGGGTCTCCAGGATCGCACCCTGGGCCAAAGGCAGGCGCCAAACCGCTGCGCCACCCAGGGATCCCTCTTATCTGGATTTTTAAAAAATATTTTATTTATTTATTCATGAGAGGCACAGAGACCTAGGCAGCGGGAAAAGCAGGCTCCATGCAGGGAGCCCGATGTAGAACTCAATCCTGGGACTCCAGGATCACGCCCTGGGCTGAAGGCAGGCCCTAAACCGCTGAGCCACCCAGGTGTCCTGCTTATTTGGATTGATTGATTGATTGATTTTTATTTAACTTTTTAAAAGATTTTTTTTAACTTTTTAAAAGATTTTTATTTATTTTTTCATGACAGAGAGAGAGAGAGAGGCAGAGGCAGAGGCAGAGAGAGAAGCAGGCTCCATGCAGGGAGCCTGACACGGGACTCCATCCCGGGATGGAGGATCACACTGGGGGCTGAAGGCAGCGCTAAATCACTGGGCCACCGGGGCTGTCCATATCTGGATTTTTTTTAACAGAATCTGTCACTTTATTTGTCCCTCAGCATTAGGGGAATCTGCCGTATTGTGGCTTTAGTGAAATAATTCCACGTACAACTTAAAGCTTTTCCTTTATTAAAACTAGAATAAAATGTTAATGAGGGAGAAAACAAATACCTAGTGTTGGATCTCAGTCATCTGTCTCAAGTCAGTGCAGAGCTTCTGTGTCTTATCTCTCTGGCTCTGCTGCTTTGGTATGGGGGTAGGGGGCTGTGTGTGGGGGGGTGGACGGACACCCTGCCAGCCAGCCAGGCTGCAGCTCCTTTGAAGTTAGGACTATGATTCCAGCCATTCTCAGCAGTAACTCTTCCATCACTTGTTTTCTGTGTTGAAGTCTACCTGTTATGGTGCCCTCCTGGGGCCTCAGTACTTCCATCCATTAGGAAGGTAAATCGAGGGGTGTTGTAAGAGCATAGGTGTCACAGAATAGACTAAGTACTCCATAGGCAGTGGTTCTGGTCTCTGGCATGGTTGTATCCCATTGTCGTTGAAGCTTGAGGAGTTGGTCAGTTCCTCATCCGGTCTTCCAGTGCCTTAGACATACCTTAGGGGCAGGATGTGTTTGGGTTGTTCTCCTTACTTGTTTACATGTGGTCCATCTTCCAGGGTCTCCATCATGGATTAGAGCTTTGAGCATGGTGTGGGCTAGGGCAATGTTTTTGTTTTTGTGGATGAGCTTAAAACTTTCAAGAGCTGAACAACTGAATGTGTTTTCCTGTTTTAGTCTCCGTGAATTCTTTTATTTTTCCCTCTAATATTTTCCGTCCCTATTATAAAGGTAACATATGCTCTGAGTTTGAGAATATTTCAAGAAGTTTGGGATATATAGACAATTTGAAGAGAAGGGAATAATGATCTTACCACTTGGCATAGGGCAGATGCAGGTTTTGTGCTGTCTCAAGTTTATATAACATATATATATATAAATTTATTTATTTTATTTTTTGCTTCTAGTGGACAATGATTTTTTTTAAATTTTTTTTAATTTTTATTTATTTATGATAGTCACAGAGAGAGAAAGAGAGAGAGGCAGAGACATAGGCAGATGGAGAAGCAGGCTCCATGCACCGGGAGCCCGATGTGGGATTCGATCCCGGGTCTCCAGGATCGCGCCCTGGGCCAAAGGCAGGCGCCAAACCTCTGTGCCACCCAGGGATCCCCTAGTGGACAATGATTTTATTGCTTGAGTACATAGCCAAATTTATGCGACCAGGGTAGAGGCTGTGGATGACTCATATTTCCAGTTGAGGGGGGAGGACTCGTTTGGTCTTAGAATATCGAGCCAATTGGTGAAATCGGCTCTCAATCAGAATCAATCGGAATTTGGCATCCTTATCCTTTCTGTTCCTCTCAAGATGCTTTCGAACAGCAACAGCTAATCAAATGGTACAGATCCTCAGGGAGATCAGGTGCAAGTCCCTGGACTTAAGAATTCTCAAGATTTTATTGCCTGTCACAGAACGTACTTGTGCTGTCAGCTTCAGCCAGGTGGGGACGCTGTGGTGGTAGGGCAGAGCCGACTGGGACTCCCTTCCCGGGAGCTTGCATGTGACACATGATGGCGGTGATCAGGCCATATATGCTCTATTTATATAAATATATAATTACAACTGCCATCTTTAAACAGAAGAGTTTACAATGATGAAAACAAGTAGATGAGAAAGTGACTATTTAGAATGAAAAAAGAAATCAGAAGTTCACATTTCAAAAAGCAGACAAATACTACAGCCTGCAGTACTTTTTCCCCTACGTTTTGGGGCAGCATTTTGACTTCCTCTTCTGTGACAACAATATTCAGTGTTTCTTTTTTTTTTTTTTTAAGATTTTATTTATTTATTCATGAGAGACACACAGAGGCAGAGACACAGGCAGAGGGAGAAGCAGGCTCCATGCAGGGAGCCCGACATGGGACTCGATCCCAGGTCTCCAGGATCACGCACTGGGCTGAAGGCAGGCGCTCAACCGCCGAGCCACCCAGGGATTCCCATATTCTATGTTTCTATAGAAAGGACACACAGTTGCTCCCCTAGGTTGATGCCCATCTGCTTCCAATTACTGACTACTTATAACACTTTATTTTAGTTCACAATTCATCATATTCCGTGTCAATTTTTAGGATTGTTGTCAAATTTGGGAAACCTGTATCAAATTTCTTTCTCATATGTGAGCTGGGAGACTTCAAGGCATTCACTATTTTTTTTTTTTTTACACAGGCAGGTGAAACAATTTTATTTCACAGTTGTCTTTAAAACCACAAAGACACTATGTTCTTCATATAAAAACATTAGTACAGATAACTATACTTTCTAGAAAATGATTATATAGACCCTCTCAAAGAAAAATGCACACCATTATATGGTTCAGACAAGTTACTTGGGAAAAACACATCTGGACCGATTCCTAAAACATACCAGAAGACCACGCCGCATCTTTTGGTTCAAAGTATAGATTACTGTCATCAGTAAGGGCTCCTGCATTCTTACATATTTGATAATACACATATAGACTGGTTTGTGACTTAATGCTCCATTGGTTCATCAGCCTTTTCTGCAGGTTCATCAGCAGGTTGAGCAGGCTGTGCCTTTCTCTGTGGTCTTTCTTCAAGACCTTCCAGGAACGGAGATACATCATCATCATCATAAATCGTAAACTCCAAGTCTTTACCAACAATTCCAATGGAAACATTCTTTGTAGTTAGGTCCTGTTCTGCAGGAAGTGTCTCTCGTAAGGCACGCAGACCATGTTTAACCAGTTCATTCAAATTGCATTCCATAAAACCAGACATATGTCTCTCCAAGTAAGTACGAGCTGATTGAGAACGGGCTCCAATGGACATGGCTCTACAGTCAAAATAGTTGGCAGATGGACAGGTTTGGAAAATGTGAGGGCCCATATCATCATAACCAGCAATGAGCAGTCCAACACCGTATGGTCTCCGGCCATACCGTTGTGTTGGTATCTGGGTCTTGCTTCCAATTAGAGATACAAGACGAGACACAGGAAGAGGTCTGTCAAATACAAATCTGGAATCCAAACACTCCTGGCGCATAAAATTACATAACAGTCTAGCATCAGCAGTAAGTCCCGCAATTGAGATACCAATATGGTTATCAACATGAAGAATTTTCTTCTGATGAGCTGCAAGCTCTGACTGTGCTCTCTTCAATGCAACCAACACTGCATGGGTTTTTTATTTCAGACCAACTGTGGCTGAACCTTGTTTGACAGCTTCCATTGCATATTCAATTTGATGAATCCTGCCCTGAGGGCTCCAAACAGTGACGTCATTGTCATACTGGTTGCGAAACATGGTTCCGGTGCAGGTCCCGCTGCGGCCTCCGGCAGAGGTGGCGGCATTCACTATTTTTAATGTAATGACTACAGGGCTTTGGAAGGGGGCGAACAATGAGTAGCTGGTACTTTTTTTATTTTTTTTGTGTGGTAAAATATACATAACATGAAGTTTACCATTTAACCATTTTTAAGTGTATGATTCAGTGGCATAGCTGGTACTTTTTGCTAGTCTTTTCTTCTGTAATTCTTTGGGCCTAGGTCAGACATTATACATTATACAATTTTATATCTGCTTTTTTCACCTAAAAGAGGATATCCTAAGCATTTTCTCAAATGTTTTAAAATCAGGGGATCCCTGGGTGGTGCAGCGGTTTGGCGCCTGCCTTTGGCCCAGGGCGCGATCCTGGAGACCCGGGATCGAATCCCATGTCGGGCTCCTGGTGCATGGAGCCTGCTTCTCCCTCTGCCTGTGTCTCTGCCTCTCTCTATCATAAATAAATAAAAATTTAAAAAAATGTTTTAAAATCATAAAATTGATAAGCAAACTTTTCATAATATCCTGATAGCCCATCATGCACTCTTCTATTGCTAGACATGAAAGTAAGTGCATTCATAATGGAGTATAAGAGATGTCTTGATTCAGTGGGGAAGTGCCTGGCTGGCTTAGTCCGTGGAGTATGTGACTCTTGATCTCAGGGTTGTGAGT